CCTGCAGGTAGGACTGGTCTGACGGTGACTCCCTGGGAGATGACTGTTAGTGCCAGAGCGACAGCAGACACAAGTCCTCAGCTACCCATGTCTCTTCAGCATCCTGCTGGGAGGCTCAGGAGGTTCATCTCATCTCATCTCATCTCATCAAGGCTCCCCTTTCCTTCCCCACATTTCTGCCACGGTCTCCCAGCTATAACACTGCTACAAAAAATTTTGTCCAGGCACCATGAGATGAGCTCCTTGCAGCTTTTCAGACTATTAATGGAGAGTGGAAATTCTGAAAGATTTGGTCCAGGTATAGGCATCTGTTCTCAACTGGCCACATGGCTATGGCTGAAGCTCAAACAGGGAGCAAAGTATCTGACACCGAGCAAGCTGTTGGAGGTACAGCAAAGGACCACCCAAGTCCTCAGCTTTTTAACATGTGAGGATCATGACCTTGGGGGAAAGGAGGAGGTGATTTTCCAGTGTTACTGAGAGGAATGAAGGCAGACAGCTGTTGGGATCTCCCGATATCACAAAAAAAATGCATTATATGATCAGGAATAAATGCACATTTACTAAATCCCAGACCCATGGCAGCCATTGTACTATTTCCTGCCCAGTATGGGCCACCAGGCTTCATTCAGCCTTTGGAAATGACAGCTAGCTATTTATAGATGCTGCCTACATTACTCCAAGGAGCAGCATCTTTCTATATTTTACAAACTCACTCCAAGTTTCCTTCAGTATTGTGCCAGCACAGGGTGAATTTCTGAGAGTAATCTTCCCTCCTTTTTCCCAGAACACAGAACATCTGGGACTACTGAGATGTCATCTTATCATCTTATGGCATTGTCTGCCTTTTTTTTTTTTTTTTTTTTTTTTTGAGTTTCTGTGTAACAATTTCATGATGTTTTTCCTGGGAGGACGACTGTCTCATCTAAAACCTTGTCTCACATATTTCTTTATGGAGGACATTTTATGCTAAAGTTCTTGAAAGAATTTCCTTTTGTGCTCTGTCCCCACCTTTCTCTGTTAAATTCCTCTCAAATATCTCTCTGATGCTTAACATCCAGGTCGCCCTATTCAACAAACCAAAGCAAAATGCTGGTTTGAATAAGCTCAGGATACATTGATGTCATTTCTGAATATTAGCAGGCCACATGATACTACCAAGTTTATTTGATCCCATTTGCTGAGGCAGCCTGAATTTCTCAGGGGCAGGTTTTTTTAATCCTGATTCATTATTGTTCAAACCCATCAAGTAAATGGCTGTAGAGCGGAAGCTTGAATGGGCTTGTTTAATAGGAAAAGTCATTCATCTGCAGCACAGCAGCTCTGCAGCAAGGCTGTCTTCCCTCTTCTGCTTCTTACTGGGTCTGCATCGGCAGCAGTGGTGCTAAACCCTGGTAGGGAAATGCTGGGGAGAGCAGATCTTTGACTTCACACTAACTGCTTCTGTTCACTGCGAGAAGTCCTTTCCAAAGTAAACAGACTGATTGTTCTTATGGGTCAGCCAGCTATTTTAAATTTATTTCTCATGTATGACTTGGTACTGCTGAGGACACTGGCCCCATGGCAAGCTGTGCTCTTTATCTGAGGTCCCTAATTGTAACCTTGGGATCTGTTGATGCTACATTTGCAGCTCTCTACAGGTCTTATCACTGCTGCTATGGAAAGCCAAATAGGCTGTGGAACCATGGCATCTGCCAGCTTAGGAAAATCTAGCCCTAAGGTGTTGGGATGGGCAGGACCCTGTGAGCTAGGAGCTGCACTGATCTTCTTTACCCTCCTGACTTCTGCCATGTTTGAATTAAGACTCAGACTCTGAAATGGCCTGAACTGGTGCATGGAAATTCAGTGGAGCCGTGCCAGGTAATGGCAGATGAAGTTCTGGCACTCAAACCTATATTTCTATACATAAAACTTGCTATTTTTTCCCAGCCTTTGGCTTCGCAGCAATGCCAGGAAAGTGCCCTGGCTGTGTTTCCCCTATGAAAGCACAAATATAAGGTTGTTGCTGGACACTTGCACTGAAGACATGTTCAAGGCAGAAAACTGCTAACATTGGTCACGGTGCCATTTCTGCACCGACCAATGCACATGGGACCCGGCCTGTCCCCTGCTCCCTGCATGCTAAAACCCAACTGAAACTCATTACATACCAGGAATACCAGCATCCCCACAAAGCCTGTGCTGGGTGGAGGAGGAGGCTCTCCCTCTCTCCCTTTTTTCCTTTCCACCCAGCTTGGCTAGTTCTTTGGCAGAGCCCCAGGTCTTGGAAGGGGGGAGGAGAGGGGGGCTTGGGAGGGCAGCAACTTCCCGAGCTTACCCATGGCCTCATTTTGATCTGCTGTACTGCCTGCTCATTTCCACTTCACAGATGCTGCTGAGCTCTGCCACGGAGAGACAAATCCCAGAAGGGGAAGGGAGCATGGTGGGGAGGGAAGAGATGAAAGCAGAAAAGAGCTGCATTTATTAAGCTGTTTTTCTTTCAGTGAAAAGAAGCATTTATCAGTGATTTCATATGTCATGTGAGATGTGGCTCCCTGCCAATTTCTAAGGATGCAAACAAGGCGCCTGACATCATGCACTAAATATAGAGCAGTTCTTGCTTTAGGTGAATAAATAATGCAGATGCAAAAGCCCAGGTTTTCAGTTACACATTCATTACCATCCGTCTGTCAGGTTCTCATCATCAGGAGAAAAACGTCCGACTCCAGCAAGGAGTGACAGGTGAAGAATGCAAAACAACTGCAGACAATAGGTGATTAAGCAGAATTTCCTTGTTCTCTGCTTTTTTTTTTTTCCCCTTACAGCTACATTTCATTTCAGCAGTAATCCATGGTGTGGCTTTTCTAGCACAGCTCTGCTGCCTCCCTCCCTTTCCCTTCAAGCCAAGCTGGAGTGACAAGCCTGGGTGGGGAGAGCCTGAACAATGAACACAGCCAAAATGTGGAAACTTCCCCAGGCACTTAGCAAGGGGGAAAAAAAGCAGAAGAAAGAAAATGGAAAAAAAAAAAAAAACAAACAAAAAACCTCTGATCAGACTGTGCAAGCAGTAAAGCAGCAGCATCCCCCAGCAAAGCAGTTTTCCATGCCCTGTCAGAGAGAGATTTTAATTGTGGCTTTCCAATGCTAATCATTCCTGATTCCTCTATTGGTTGAGGTTTTTTTTAAGGCAACCGTTTTAACAACCACACAAGCAAACCTGTAACTGGTTCCATGGCATATTATTTTAGCTCTCAGAAAGCCCTCCAGGAAGGATTACAATTGGTAATAAAGCTGAATCGATAACTTTCTCCCTTCTCCTCCTTCAGATCAAAGGCCCTGAGCAGGAGGAAGCATCTCCAACCCATCCTTTCTGGGGGAGAGCAGAGACAGGAGAGTGGGAAACAAGAAGACAATGCGCCATCAAAGCTGCCGCAAGGTGTTGGATCAATGACAACATCTGCATGAGGGTCTGGGCTACAAAAGAAGCTGTTACCATGGAAACAGGTGCAAAAGCATCAGGTGGGAAGAAGCAGGCGATGATGAAAGGTGAGAAAGAGGGAGAGAGTATTTTTAGCTTCCTTAGGAGGAATGCTATACAATGACATCACCCTATCTCATTATTTGCACCCGTGCTGTACAACACATTGTGGCACCTGCCCCAGACTGCTAAATGGGAAAATGTTATTATGGATGTGCATTATGAATACTGCAGTGAAACTTGAGCTTGGGAGTTATTAGACATCACTATTCTGTAATAAAGGAGAGCATTTAATACATTGTGCTGTAGAGATTCACTGTACGGTGTAAGACGCATCATGTCTAGAATTTTAATATTCTCAGAAAGTAATTATGACTCATCCTTTTATTGTTATTAAGAAGCAGAGTGAAAATAATTTTACACATTTGATATCCCACACATCAACAAGCCTTTTACACTGGAGAAACATGGCCTAGTTTTCCAGAGCTCTGCATGCCAACATGCTCTGAGTGAATGTGGTAGTAGTCATAGGTGCTCAGCACTGCCAAAAATCCAGCAATCTGTGTCACATGTGAATGAAGCCTCATTAATCTCAAAAATACAAAGTGTGTGTTTCACTGCCTGTGTTCAGCTCCTTTGGAAGGGCCAGACCCCTTTTGCAGTTAAGGACCAGTAGATACCCGTAACATCTGCTGAAGCTCTGATTCCAGGCAGGGAAAAATTCTGGCTGTCAGACATTGTTCCTGGCTGCCAAACAGAGGGGAAAACCTCCAGCCTGGGGAGCTGAAACAATCTGGGGCTCATCTGCCTCGCACCAAGAGGTGGGTGCCCACAGCTCACCACATCAGAGAGGCTGGAATCACTCACTATTCCTGTCACACTGCTCACAGTGAAGTCAGAAGGATAAACCCAGAGGAATGTGTGTTCCTTGTGACTGCAGAACTCTGAGCCCCTGAGCTCCCAGCCTGGAATAACTATCGATAAACGCCGCACTCAGCCAGAGCGTGTCAGGGGCACTGGGGCCTGTCACTGGAGACAGGCAGGGACTGAAATTCCCAACCCATGCTGCTAGCCGCCAGCGCTGCCAAAGCAGCGGCGGGTGAGTGACAGGGCTTGCCCTGGCTTTTGCCCTGCGCGCGGCGGGGCACGTGGGCACCCAGCCATTTGTTTTCGCAGTTAGGCCGGATCCTGCGTCAGCAGGCCAGAGCAGGAGCGGGTGACCGAGGCGGCGCCAGGCACCGGTGCCAAGGGTGTAGGGCAGGCGGTGGAGCGTGGCCTGGCTGCAAGGAGCCGGCCAGGCTGATGTCATGCTGTAGCCCTCCTCCTTGGTAAGCTAAATATACCCTCCTTGCGCCCCACCGCCTGCCCAGGAGCACGGGCGGGCTGGGGGCAGCAGCGAGAGGCCGGGGGCACAGCTGAAGGCCTGGCCTCCCCTGCCCTGCCATAAAAGGCACTGGTGCACAACCCAGCCAGCTGGGGAAACAGAGCAAGAAATAGCACAGGGACCATGGTGGGTGACAGGAAACACGAGCCAGCCAGGGAGTTACCACCGAGCGGCAGGCAGAGAGGGCCTACAAGCAAGGACAACTGGTAGCAAAACCTGATTTTCTTTTTTGGTTTTTTTTTTTTTTCACCATGCAATCACGATGTGCACTCTTCTCTCTGTTTGAACTATCTTTCCTACCAGAAGATCTGACTCTTTAAATATATAATAAATAGTGAAATGTACAGAACATATGAATATGTACAGAACATATTCTGACCCATCTTTAGGGGGAGAAGACGAAGATTATCCAACACAGCACAGCTCAGGCTGCTGAAGGTCCTATAGGGCACATCTACAAAGAAAGGTAAAAAAGGTGAGTGAATTTAGCTGAACCTGAAATTACAACACCTGAAAACATTGTTTTTCCTAGTCTAAATGCAGCGTTCTTACTCCAACATCCTTGAGTCTATTGTATCTAATCCTCATGATGATTAACCAGACCATGCCTGAAACAGCAGCCTTTCTTTATTATATCACTGGCTAACTTGAACTATTCTGGACATCAGCTTCACTCAGCTTAACCTCACCCCCATTTCCTAGTTAAGCTAATGCCCAGCACAATGCTGAATTGCTTCTGCTTTCTTCCTGGCACCTTTTTTTTGGCATTTCTCATTTTATTTTTGAGGAAGGAGGTTACTGTTCTACATCTTACAGTATTAGTGCTGGATGTAGATGAAACAATATTTCATGTGACTTATCATCCAATTTGTCTTATATATTAGCTTTGGCATTGCCAGCATTGTAGTCATGCCAGTAGAGAAACTTTGATCTGAGTGTAAAACTCAGCCAGGCTTGATGTAGGGTTGTAGAAAATAATTTCAAATATGAAAAATTTGGTCTGTGCTTTTGGGGATACAAATGCTGTTGATACCCTAAATATCACATTTTATAGGAGGTATGACCTCTCTGCTAAAATCAAGTACCATTTTAGGACAACATTAAGAGTCACTCTGGGCACGTGTGGAATTCACCAGACACATTTTGGGCACTGCCCCAATCTGAATCATAGCAGTTGTGGACATGTATGGCTCAAGAGACCATCCGGCTCCTCTTTCCCTCCCCTTCCCTCTCTTTCTAGCTGATATTCCTGACTGATGTGTGTTTAACCTTTTGAAAATATCTTTGGTGACAGGAACAGCCCTCAGCCAGGGCTCACCTCACTTGCTGGTTACACCATGTTTTTTCTCTGGCTGTAACCCAGCTCACTCTGACAGAAAGAGCTCAACTTCTCTGCCTACCTGAAAATTATTTGGTCTAATGGCAATCCTTAGATATTTGACATGCTACCACATCTGCCCTCATCCTCCAGTCATCCATCCTGAACAAACCAGTTCTTTCAATCTCTCCTTGTAAGCCAGGTCTTCCAGGCTACCACTGTGCTCCTCTCTGTTCCATGCTCACCTGCATCATCCCTGGACCAGCAGGATGCTGTTCTCTGCCCGGCTCTGTCTTGATGAGGGAAAAATGGTGATTTCCCCAAACCCACATCTGGCATGACCTCTGGCACCTCCCACTTGGCCCCTTCCCCACTCCATACCTCTGTCTTCTGCCTTGCCACCCACTCAGACCCACCCTACTCTGCTGCTGCCAGCCTGGTGCTTCTCCACAGCATCATTCTGTGTTTGAGCCCTCCTTCTAAGTGTGTGCTGAGCACTCCCCTGTATTGAATTTCAGTTTATTGATCTCAGACAGTTTCTCCCATTTGCCAAGACCACTTTGACTTCCAGCCCTACAAAGTGCTTGCAAATTGTCCTTCCCCACCTGGAGGAACTCACAGATTTTACAGTGTACTTTCTATTCCATTACACTCGTCATTAACAACATAAATAACAGCAGCACTATCCAGCACTGCTTGCTTGCTGTTCTCCCTTCCCGTCAACCTCTCCAGGTACCAGGGCAGTGAGCACTCTTGCCCAAGAGACAGAAAAGACATGGGCTTGCCACCTGGGTGGCACCTGGGTAACAGCAGTGCCCTGAAAACAGGGGGTAATGCACATTGTCCCATGCTCAGCCTCTTGTTGGTACTAGCACCAGGCATTAGGGCCTCTTGCCTCCATACTCAGCCAAAAAGCTGCTCCCATGTGCTGTGGGCACACATGGGAGTGTTGAACCACAAGCTTGCAGCTAGAAGACAAGAGGGGATTGGTGTGGCTCAGCAGGACTGCTGAAGGTCAGACTACTAGAAATGTTTACTGAGCGAGTTTGTGCAGCTTCAGCTCATGCTTGCCAGGGACCCAGCTGAACAATTAAACGAAATATCAGTTCAGTCACAGGTTGCAGCACACTCATAGCCCTGCCTTCAATGAATAAAATAAATCATTCACACTGATTCTCTAATCAACCCAATCCTCAGAGGTGTAAATTATTCTGGCAGGTGTATAGTCAGTGAAGTTTTCAAATTAACCTAAAAAACTCCAAAGAACCCTCTGAGTCTCTCAGCACTGGCTGAGCTGAGCAAAGGCTGTCTAAAACAAGTGCAACACAAAACTGGGTGGCAAAGACTGTGCCTTGCAAAACCTGATAGTAAAACAACCATCCTGCAACCTAGAGCTTTTGTTCAAAAGGATGATGCTCCAACCTGGGCTATCCTTGCATCACAGACCCTGCCCAGATGCTCAGGGCATGCCTTGTTTGCATGGAAATCCCATCAGGATCCTACAGCTCTGCAGGAGCATCTTAGGAAAGGTCCTAATCCTTTCAGCCAGCAGCCCTGTAGGCAGGAAATACACCATAGCACATGACTGGGAATAAACACAGAGTGCAGGGGTATGGCCATCAGATGGTGTCACTCTCTCTGTCGGGCTGTTGGGTGGAAGGGGACATCAGCTTGACAGTCTCAGCTTGATTTTGTCTTCTCACTGCTTCTGTGGTGGGGAACACCACTGTTCCCTGAAGAAGTGAAGGTGGCTGCTGTGTGACAGCACCCAGCAGACAGCCACTGTTGTTCCCCCAGGTCTGCAAAGGAATTTGGAACCTCTTTGTTTATTCTCTATAGAGATGTGGTTTGAAATAATTTACTGGTGTGGACTGAGTAACAAAAAAGAGATGCCAGGATTCTAAATACAGCATTTGGAGCTGTTAGAGGAAAGCAGTGAAACAAAGCAGCAAAACCTGAGTTAAAAGCATATTTCCTGGTCAGCCTTGGGGGACAAAGAGTGTTTGGATGGGCCCCAGCCTACTGCTTTATGTAGCCACAGTTTTATTGTGTAAAATAAAAATAAAATGGATTCCAGCAAATAATGGTAAATATTTGATGATATAATTATGTCTTATTAATGCAATGTTCTTTCTTTTGCAAATTAAATTTTCACAAGAATTCATCACCCATTTAATTTTTATTATTTAGGCCGTGAGTATGTCACAGATGTTTGTTATGTACTTTCATAACCATTTGATTAATATTAAATGTTTAAAATAAAAACTCCATTTATATTTCAGTTATAATGGCCCTATGAAAATATTACAAATACAAGTTGGTATTTATGGCCCACATTAGCTCTTAGTACTACTTTTGATATTTTTATTGCTGTGCAGGGCATGCACAGTTCATTACATATGAAAAATAGTTTAATTTTCAGGACCTTTGTAATGATCTGTAAACTGAAGAATTTTCCTTGCCATGCCACAGAAACCCCCTCAGTTCTCCTGATTGAACCTCTTTTATCCTGGCACAAATCTACCCTATTTATATGTATAGCTGTAAGAGAGGATCTCTTAAAAGGCATGAATGCCAGAGACACAAGTTTTGAAAATCCTCAAATACACAGCTCCTCTTCATCCAAATGTACAGATATGGACTAGGACTGGGTAGGAACTGGGGGAGAGCACTAACTATCAGCAGCATTAGCCATCCCGTCATACCTGTTGGATGTGGCAATAAACGGAACCCTCCCTGTTTGGCAGTTACAACACACACAAGAAAGCTCCTTCTGGCCACTTAAAGAGTGTGGCTGCTGTGGATTTCAGTCTCCAAAAATGGCCAGGAGCAGGCTCCCCTGCAGCACCACAAGCAGCATTAGGTTTTCTACTCCAATAGCTCAGGGAATTTCAGGTGCATCAGCTTTTTTCAGAAGGACTAAAAGCACCACAGTCATCAGCTGGTCTGTGTAGGATTTTAGACCTAAACCTATGAAGGCCTTACTTTCCTTCAGCTACACCAGGTTGCACTCTGTCAGCTTTGACAACATCCTTAGGGATTTAAAGTGTCACTGTATCTCCTGCCAGCCACAGGCTCCTCCTACAGAGCATCTTCCCAGCTCCATTTATGCTGGATTTCACCTACATGGTCATCTTCATCTGGTACCTGATGGAAGAAAATTAGATCCCAGGATTTGCTAAGCATCCTAAAGCCAGCAGGAAACATAGAGCTGCAGATAACAGCATCCGTGACCACCACCACTTCCACTGGAAAATGACAGGATGACCAGGCACAACTAGGCTTTCCTTGCCCAGCATTCTCTTAGCAACTTGGAAGAAGCATGCTTACATCCAGCTGCACTGGGCTTTTATGAGGCCTGGTGGACTTCTGCCACTCACCTCATGCTCATTTATAGTGGTGCACAGTGAATGCAAAGTCTCTCCTGTCTGTTCTGATCCTTTCCTATATGCATTTCCTTGCTACACCTGACTAGCTGAGGCAAGTGCAAAAAAGACAAGGGGGACCTGGAGAAGATCCAGCAGCAGACCAAAGATAATGAGGGGTCTGGAGTATCTCTTTTGAGGTGAGACTGTAGGAGCTGGGCCTATTTAGTCTGGAGTAGAGAAGGCTGAGAGGGGATCTCATTAATACATATAAATGTGTCACAGGTGGGTATCAAAAGGAAGGTGCCAAACTCTTTTCAGTGATGCCCAGTGACAGGGCAAGGACCAATGGCCGTAAACTGAAACACAAGAAGTTCTACCTCAACATGTAGGAGAACTTCTTTACGTAGAGGGTGGCAGAGCCCTGGGAACAGACTGCCCGGGGAGGTCATGGAGTCTCCTTGTCTGGAGACATTCAAAACCCACCTGGATGCATTCTTGTGTGACCTGCTTAAGGTGAGACTGCTGTGACAGGAGAGTTGGACTAGATGATGGACCAGAGGTCCCTTCCAACCCAAACAGTTCTGTGATTCTGTGAAGTTGCTGCAATGGTGGGTCTATAAAGCAGCAGTATGTGCCTCACCTGGGTGAAACCAACTAATGGTGCCTAGCTTTAGAAAGTTAAACAGTCCCTCTAAATATTCTCTGCTCCTGTTTCTGAAAGGCTGCCAGACAGCCATCCTACCTCTGGGGTGAGTAGTGCCCCCTGCCATTTGGCGTTTGCTAGGCAGAGTGAGCAGACACAGCTACCAACAAAAGGTGTGAATTCTCCTTAAAGGTTGCTGAAGTGACATTTCAGACAAGCACAGAAAATGCTCCTGAAGGTATAGTGGTTTAAGGACCAGAGGTAAAAGCAGTAGTCTTCTGCACCACCAGCATGTGCTCGCTCTCCAGAGCTCATCCTGGTTCTCATTTTAGTTCCCCAGTTTCTGGGTGTGTATCAGGCATGGCTTTTCACTGAACTGAAACCTCTCATTTCAGGTGATGTTTAGCAAAACATTTTCTTCCTGAGGCTGGTTTGGTAGTTTTGAGCTGTGAGAAGCAGAGTGTGCAGAGGCCTTCACATGTTGTTTCCACCCCTTCCCTCTCTCAGCCATACATCCATGCTGTCTGCTTCCACATGTGAAGATCACTGGAGGAACACAAGCTGTATGTGGCCATGACCTTGTCATTGCAGCCCACTGTGGGCTGCTAGGTCTGAGGAAGTGAATTCAGACCTGAGTTTGCCAAGGTACGGAGCCAGGACCCCATTTCTAAATGCTGTTGAAACCCCTGCTGGAAGCAGAGACCTTCTCTTACTGCCAGAACAGGATGTGCTTTGCTTTCTTCCAAAACTGCCATCTCAAAAAGCAGAAAGGAAGCAGTGCCCAGCAGTACCCAGGGTGGGGCTGGTGGCTGCAACCTGGCTAGCAGGGCACCTGGAAAGAGATTTATGTCCCCTCACACCCAGACCGTTCTCCATTCACTGGGCTGCTGTTTCTATTTAGTGCAAAGCACTCCATGTTTCTCAGCCACCATCATAAAACAAGTTAGAGGGTGTCAAAGTGGGAGACTTGATTAATTTGGTTTGTAGGTAACAGCTGCCATGGAAAATAGAAGGCCCTTTGGCCCCTGGGTCCCATTGTGCTTCTCTGCTAAATTGAAGGGAAGCCTTCCTCCCTTCAAAAACTGTGCTTCCCTTCAGCTGTTGGGTTTTGGAATCTTTGGAAAGAAACACAGTTCTGGTATGGAAACCATCAGCAAGAGCCTGGGATAACAACCAAACTACACTGTTAAAAATACTCAGTCCTTTGAATGAACTGAAAACATTTTTTCTTACATACTAGGAGCAAAGATGCAGCCGCATTATCAGCTTCAGTGAGGGCTAGACAGTGCACAGGCACAACATACAAAGACAAGAGCAGGGGGAATGAAGGCCATTGAGTCCTTTTGCCCTATATCAATCCCAAAGTGCAGAGCCCAGCTGTTTCCGGAGGTGCTGCCATGCTGGGCTCTGCAGCAGCCAGGGCCATTGGGCTGCCTCCTGTGAGCGTTGTTTGTTTCTGGAAACTGAAATGCCTCAGCTTTCAAATCATGACAGGAGATGATGCTTTACTTAGGGTTGAAATGTGAGCCAAAATCTATTCCTGGCAATAACTTGAAGGTCATGCACCAGTAAAGAGTTCCTACCCCAATGGTATGTGCTATTAGACAGATGCGGCTGTTGCTCTTTATCTGACAGTGACAGATTTTAGGCCACCCTTTCATGGGTGTGTTTGTTTTCTCCTCCAGTCTGCATTGCTCTCCCAGTCTGTGCCCCCAACTCAAGTTTCACTCGCTTGTGCCCTCCCCAAAGGGATGTGATTAAGCACAGCTAGTGCAGAACTTTACAGTAACAGCAAATTCCTTTGTGCCTGCAGAGTTCACCAGCAATGAGATGGCAATGTGACTTTGCAAGCATGCCTTGCATAGCTTCTCATCTTCATATCCCCTGAGGTGAGCAATGCAGTTCACACGCAGCCCTTGCACCTGTCACAGGAGCTGGGGACAGCCTAGGGGACTCAGAAGTGGAAGCCAGTCAGCAGAACCATGAGAAGTGTCCATGGAGACACGTCCTATCACTGTCCTTTCCCAGCTGGTGGGATGCAGCACTGCACACTAACCTCTGAGGTGGCTGTGAGGAGCACAGCTCTGGTTTGCAGCACTAAGGATCTGGCTCCCTTTCTTGAGAACATAACAGATATCCTTTACATGGCTTGGTTTTCACACTGCAGAGGAGTTCAGGCTCCCACAACAGAGAGGTAGTTTATTCCCATTCCTCCTCACTCTTCTCTGGAATAACACACCCATCATACAGAACAGAGAGGCATAAAGCTCCCAAAAGGGCTGCACTGATACCCCCAGCCACCCACCCCACACCACTCTGATGCTTCTGCATCTCAAGATGATTTTTTTAAAGGCAGCCATCTGTGGGTGTTTGGCATATAAGGAGACATCAGTAAGAAACTAAGAAAGCTGAGTATTATGAATGGTAGCCACAGGATGGGCAAGTCAATCAGGGATAAATTGTGAGTAAGGAAAGAGGAGCCTGGTGTACTACTTATCCCTATGGTCAAAGCTGGATTAGAGCAAACAGTTGCTTGTATTTATAAACTTCCCAACACCCTGCTGCGCCTGAAGAAGAGGAGAGAGGAAGGATCACAAGACCCTCACTGGCTGGGGCTTGGGAAAGGAAGTCTCTGAAATATGAATGCTGGACATTCTCTTCCCCTCCCCCCAGGGTGAAGATTTTCCACAGTGTCACTCCTGCTGTCACTCACAGTGGGAGCACCCTGGTGATCTGATCCTTACTCCCCAACCCTCAGGAGAGCTTTTCTTGTGCCTAGAGACCCAACCTGAAGGGAAGCAGGGAGAAACCTGCTCCTCTGGTCCCTGCCCCTTGCCCCCTGCTACCTCCAAGGGCTGGTGGAGCTAATTAATTTACCATTAGTACAGTCCTTTTCAGTGTGGGTCTGTGTTTATGTTTACTTTCAGGAGCTAGAGATGGTACAGATGGCTAATTTGTTTGTTCGGTATTGTTCTTTCTAGCTGCCTAGAGCTGTTTTTGTACCTCTGTATTTGTCATG